AATAAATTAAAAAAAATTAGTTATCATTTAATTTCGAGATATATTCTAGATAATTGAAGGCACGTAAAAAAATATTTTTTACACCAATGATATGCGAAAGAAATGCACACTTGTTTGTGTCATTTACTTAATTTCCTATTGAAATATTTCAATTTTTATACTTTTAACCACAACTAATTGTCACATGCATAATTTTAAAATTGTTTTTTAAAATTGTTTCCTAACTTTATTTGATCGAGCGGACAGCTTTGTGTGCCTTTAAAAAATTTAAATGATTTACTTATGCTTACAAAACATGTTATTTATATCTTGCATATTTACCTTTTGGATTAAAACAAAGTTAGTATATCTATTTATGAATAATGATTAACAGATTTATAGAAATAGATAATTGTATTTTGCTAAAACTGCTCAACGAAAACTGTGGTGTCTGCTCATCCAAGGTCTTGATAGTGCTGGTTTTCTGTCTTGGGTGAACTGCTCACCTAAGCCGGAAGAACAATCGATCCAATGACTTGGCCGAGCCACCAGAGAGATTTTGGGTGAGCGTGACTTTTAATTTTTTCCTAGTGTAGTGAGCATGGAAAAAGCCCTTAAAAATGCGTCATTTAGTTCCACAATGCCTAATCTTCAAATGAAGGACCTTAGATTATTTGAACATGATCAGATAATGCCCACCTCCGTAATACATCTGCCAGAGCATCTTCACGATATTAGCTGTAAAAGCAATTTTGTACAAGCACTAGTGAGTTAAAACTATCTAGATAATAATTTGTTATATTAAAGTTGTGTATTGGAAGTCAATTTACGAATAATGTGTTAAAGGATGCATTAAACACGACTCTGATTTTCCCATTAGGGTTACGGGTCTTAGACATTCTGTGATAGGGGTAGTCTTTTTCTATTAGCAGTATAGATTTAACAATATGACTAAATTTTTCACATGCACTTATAAAATTTTGATGTTTTGAAAAATTACTACTATTACTTTTGAAAGGATCCCATGTATCAAAATTACTTTTAAGCACACATTTACTGTAGTTGTATTTTCCGCCTTCTAACCTCAAAATAGCACATTCAACGCTTGATTTTCGGTTCTCAGGCGGAAAAGTAGTATACGAAACTCGTTCGAAAATGCTTTTTTACGAACCTTGTTACGGCCCTCGCCTTCGGCTCGTAAGTTCGTAAATCGAAGCCTTTGCAAACTCGTTCGCAATATACTATTTCATCACACCCTGACGGGAAGTTCGCATTCCCGTCCTGATTTCAGGCTGGGTAGTTGTGCATTCCTGATCAGGACAGGAATTTTTTTGTTGCACACTAACCTACTGTGCAGCTCTCTCCTGATTACTTTCTTATGTCAGTTGTCAGCTACTTATGTGTATACAGCTATAGTCGACAATGTACTACACTCAGCTGACAAAAACCAAGACACCCGGATCATAACCTAAATACTGATGCCATACGAATACAAGGATTGCAGAGTGTAAGATTAATGATTTTAGCTAGTGAGTAGTGTTATACTCAACATTTAAAAATAACTAAGTACTCAGTCTCTATACATCTGAGTACTAAAAGTGATTGTGGGAGTGTATATGAATGAAGTTTGTATATTATTTCCAAGTAAATTTTTCATGTAAGAAAACAGCCGTCACAGGAGCATAACATACTAATATGACTCCCATAGTGCCAGTATAACAGATTTTCATATGAATTTTGTGTGTAATTGAATTTTATACATAATTGAATGACTTCTACGAGAGTAGCTGCTGCATACAGTACCACAGTCGCTATATATTGTTTTCTATCTCGCTTACTCTTTAGTTCTCTGGAGTCCCTATATCAACAAGAGCATGAGCGTTCACGTTGAACGTAGGAACGACTGTGTGTTGATTTTATATTAAATCAAGCAACAAATAACTTTTTTTGGGTCGTGAACTTCCTGCCAGGTGTAAAAAAAATCGTATACGTCACTCGGCAGGAAAATAGCAAATCACCGTCCGCGTATTCGCCCAATTTGCCAGAGGTGAAGCCGAGGGTAGCAATATACTCGTGGAGGGGAATGCACTACTTCCCTGCCTCATGACGTAATACACTACTTTGCAGAAATAGAATTTTTAGAAGTTAATATAAAAACAACTGCTGAACTAAGAATTTGTTTGAAGGTCATAAAGATGAGAAGTATTTGCAGAGCTGTTTGTGATACAGCAGTTCCTTACAGTTTTACCTAAGGGTAGATTGAAATTAATTAAAAGTATTTATCACAAATTGCAAAGGTGAAATTGTACCAGACAGAACCTAGCTAAGTAAAGTCTACGTATCAGCAAATACTTCATACGATGAAGCTAGAGACTAGTTGGTATCTACAGTTGAGGCAAACTAAATTGGTCTTTTTTGACATTTTACCTGATTCTTGAATATTTAGTTTAAAGAGAGCTTACAACCAAGCTACTTAAAATTTTAGTGCCATGCTATGTTACTATGCTAGTTTTCTCAGCAACTTATTATTAGGGTGGCAGAACAAAAAAAGGTTAGAAAAGAAGTAGTCCTTTGTAACAACACGATATTCAGCTCAAGAAAAACGTACAGTAGCGTCCTTTATTAAATAATAAAGGGTGAACAAAAAAGTAAACACTTTGACGGAGATGCATGTAAGTGTTTTTTATTCTAGTACTACTTGGAAGTCTGCTTTTTCTTTTTCTTATTAATTGTCTCCATAAGCAGTGGTTTTAGAGCAAAATCATTGATACAAACGTTGTTTATGTGATTATTTTGCACAAGGATTGTGTGCTAAAAACGAGAAGAACTTTTTCATAGTCAAAACAAGTAAGAAAGCTAAGAACTGTAAATAAATTAAAATGCATGGAAATACATGTTGCAACATTGAAAAATTAAAAGAAAATTAGAAACTTTACACACATAAGCATACTTTTTTTATATGTTTAGTGTAGTTGTATAGCTTTATGATGATACTTCATTGTAAAATTGTGGTTTGGAAATTTTTAAGAATGTATAAAATGTAACATGAGCATGGAATGGACATCACCATTTTTGGAATTATTTAAGAATAAAATTATTTTTATTACTCAAAAAATAAGAATTTTATACTAACAAAAAAAAAGTAATGCACAATAAACATAAATACAAGGCGGTTTTTTAAGCCTTAAATATAGACAAGAAATCCAGTGCAAGTAATAACGCTAACTATTGTTACATAAATTAAAGAAAAAGGTTTCTATTGGAGCCATAGAAGCAAAGGTACGATCCCTTAAGTCTTTTATGCACTGTGGACACTATATGTGATTTTTGAAGCACAACATCAAAACGCTCTGCTAAAGCATTTTTTGTGCATATGTGTAACTCGCGGTGGCTGCAGCTGCTAAAGTACTGTTCACATGCTATTGTTCACTAACCCAATTAGTCGTTATGTGCAAAAGGGTTGACCAAATTGATATAAAAAAATGTTCATGGTACAATAAACATTTGGTAGAAAGATCGTGCAAGTCCAAAAAAGACAATTTAAATATACTGCCAAGATTGCATAAGTACTTAAAGTATTGTATTTTAGCTTTCATTCGTCCTTTAGTAGAAACTTGGTTTTCTTAAATTTACTAAAAAAGCTTCCTCATTTGCACTACGTTTCTTTTGCCTTTGTTGAAAATTTAATATTCAACACAAAATCAAGATTTTTACTTATTAATTTTACAATAGGCCACTACTTTGACATTAAAAAGTTAGACCTGTTGTCCAGAAGAAAACATTGAAACTTTCATTACATGTCTGATTTTCATTGAATTTTGAATGTTGTAACACGTATATTAACTTCTTTCGTTTTTTTTTCGTTTTTTGGCTTTTTAGCTCTCATTTTATTTTTTTTTCTGAAACTAATACTTAGCAAGATATTTAATAAAAACTCAAAAAACTGATATCCAAGTATATTTTGCAACAAAATAAACAATGACGTGTATCTTTATTAAAGTAGACAAATAAAGATATTACTCTACGTATTTAACTTTAAGTTTTGAGCTTAGTATACAATTGTTATGAAAGACTATCACCCTCTAACGTTCTTATGCTTTGGCTACTAAGACAAACTTTTTAACTGTCGCATTTGGGCAACGATGCCATACATTTAGGCTCTCGTCTATTTGTTTTTCTTAACCTATTTTTTACGGTTTTGAGAACCTTATTTTTCTCTGCCAAAAGATGAAAGTAACACAGGTAGCAAAGTATGTTCACAACATACGTAAGTCATTATGTAAACCACTTGTATAGATCCACTTGATTACTGTTGGTTTTAAGTCATGAGTGTTATATTTCTAAACATTACTTCTTATTTTAAGACAGTCAGGCATACCACCTAATTGTCATTATATTTTACAAATAACTTTAAATAAATAAGGTTCTTATTTTTTCTTGATTTGTAGATTTTTTTTTTTAGTAACAAGAAGCTAGTGAAGCATAAAAAATAATGTTAGCAAATTTTATTGTTGTTAGTAGTTAAATTAATAGTTAGAAACCAAAAAACTATCTTTTTTTTTTATCGTCCATTATGTTTCTAAGGAATTAATAAAATGATTTAAAGGCCCTTATCAAGTCCCTGTAATAATTTTCAGTTCGGCTAAAATTGTTAAGTTGTTTGTAAAAAATGAAGTAAGACCTGAGATTCAAATAATCTGAGGAATTTTTTATTATGTATTCAGAGAATTCATTTTTTCCTTACAATCACTTTATGTATCTAAAAATAGTCAAGGTAATTGTTGTCTCGACTGATGAGAAATACGGTATACAGACATCAAGCTTGGATAGTAAGATTAGCCTGTATTCTTATTAAGTATTATAATTAAATATTAAGTACGGTTCTATAAAAATATGAGCTTGGCTTAAAAAAAACTTTAAATTAAAATACTTTGTCCCTATCCTTATCAATGATTTGATTTTTACTGAACAGGGAACTAAGTACTGGAGGTTTATTGGCAAAAAGCTTGATGGAGAGTTTCCTAAGGATATAAGTGAAGGATTTACTGGAATACCAGACAATTTAGATGCTGCAACTGTCTGGACAGGCAATGGTAAAATTTACTTTTACAAGGGAACAAAGTTTTGGAAATTCGATCCATCGTTAAGACCACCAGTAAAAAATACTTATCCTAAGCTTATTTCAAATTGGGAAGGTGTACCTGACAATATTGATGCGTCTCTCTCTTACCATGGCTACACCTATTTTTTTAAAGATGAGTCTTACTACCGATTTAACGATAAAACGTTTTCTGTAAGTATATGTACATTTTTATACATTTAACACCATTTGTATAAAATTAACTTAATTCAAGCTTATGAAATATTACTAAATGGCTTTTTTCATACAACATTCTCTTGTACTAAGCACTCTTTTATACCAAAAAAATATGGTAACTAATATATTTGCTGCACTTTCATTTTTATAAATAACTTTAATAATACTAAAACTGTTATAATAATATTTTTTTAAATTTCTTACTTTGTTATGTAAGCTTCATCTTCTATCAAATAAGCTGCTTTTTTTTTGACAAAGAAAAAGTTTTTTAGGGTTTTTAACATATTTTTATTTATTTCCACTGTTTTTCAGTAACTTTACTTGTTTGTCTTTCAAATAAAAAGTACCTATGTTAATGGATTATAAGAATAAGTTTATATTCAAAGTAATTCCTTTATCTCATGATCCAACTTATAAATTTATTGCTCACGAAACTGGCTTTCAACGAAAATATTTAATTTAAAAACTAGTGAGCTACATCTTAGGTATTAATCAGCATAAGTCCGTGCCAATCGATTCTATCATAGTGTTTTTGGAGAAAATGGAAAGGTGAGGGACAGGTTTGTAAAGTGGACTAAGCAGAAAAACAAATAACAGTACAAAAGGAGTCATGAAAATAGTGATTTATCAGAAAAGGAAACAACTCGTATAGAAAAAATATGATAGTGAAAAGGAGTCATCTGAAAGTTCTAAGCACTGATGATTAATTAATTATATAGTAAATATGCAAAGCTTTACATAGCCTGTCAACGATTTAGCTTTTATGTCATTACCTATACAACTTCTCTGTTCTGCCTATGATCCTATGGTATTATTCTTCGTTAAAGAACCATTTNCAATGTAGGAGCGCGCATCGCTACAAAATCACCAGATACTTATCTTAAAAATTCTTGCACATGATATTACTCGTATCAAAATCAATGAAAATGATTGGCCTTGTTCACTATATTTCTTATGCGTGAGTATATCGGGGCCAAGCAGCAAATGAGGTACGAGTTTGGATCATTAGATCATTCTCTTCTTAACAAAGTTGCCCTCTTCGGCTCGAAAATATCACCATCCGAGCATTAGATGCACAGGTGTATATATATATACACCGGAGATGCTGAGCCAACGTGTATAAGTGATGTATTTACATACAGTGCGCATGATACGCGATACATAGTATATGCCGATGACCACTTTGGCGAAGAAACGGAGAGGGGGGTGGAGAAAATTTGATAAATCATGCCCGCATAAATTTCCACCCTGTGGGTACAACGCGTAGCCAAGTCCTGAAGGAAAAGCTGGGACGCGCAATGAGTTTGTATAGATGCAGGCGTAGAGAGAATACAAACGAGGTATCTGCTCCCCGTCCCTCGGCCGTACAAATAGAATTTTTTGTCCACATGGCCATCCCCTCTGTCCAAAAATTAAAGCAACGTAGATAATGTTGTTTAGGCTCCTTTTAAAAGCTACTTAATTATAGATTTTTTCAAGCAGTGGTCCTTTTAAAAAAATCATAATGGTAGATAAATACGGTCACTAAAAATAAACTACCTCACCGTAAGAGATTGGTTTTTGCGCTACTTTACTTAAAAAACTGAGTAAAAAATTAACTACCAATTCTTTTGCTACGCATTTATCCCTTGTTAATACAATAACATTTTTATTTCTTATCTAAACATGCTTTCATTATCTCTTACCTCAAAAAACCTCTAAAAAGGCAAGTTTTGAGTATTATGAAAACGTTAGTTATCTAATATTCATGAAAAAATTAAATTTTAGTTAACTTTTTTATACTTATTACTCATATAGACCTACTACTTTACGGAAATTAATTTCTATTTTTCCTTACCTTTAAAAATGTCCGAAAAATGCGGTTTTTACGTGTTTCGATCACTAAAATTGTAAATTTATAGGAAATCACCATTTAGATGCAGTTTCACTTGCTTAATACTGACATACTGCTTTTTTTTACAAAAGTTCTCGTATATTCTTCATAACTTTAACTAATATCCTGATGAGTGGTTTTTTAAGCATGATTTTCCCCTGTATTGCCGTAAAATATAGCATTTCATCAATCTCGCTCGCTCTTACTCTCTTAAAAAACATATAATAATATCATCCACTGGAGTCTGATATTTCTTTTTCAAAGAGATCATACATAGGATTTCGATAAATTTTATAAAACTTGTACCATGATCCGTTTCCACCGATTCTGTACTGAATGAGCACAACTTTGTATGATTAATTTTGCGGTATGTTCCTTACTTTAAAAATCCTCCTCATAATGCTGATTTGAAATTTATCAGTAACCAGCCAGCTGCTTGTAAAATAGTCTACAACTTCACCTCGATAAGTATAGTTGAAACTTTAATATATATTCAAACATAATTTGAAGATACTTTGTTAAGAATTGTTTATCATTGATGAGGACTTTTATTGTTAAATTCTTAAACAGCACATCAAAAAACCTGAGAATAGCGATTTTTAGCGTGATCAATATTGACGTTATTAAGACTGAAGAAGCATGTTACGGTCATTTGCGGTAATTACAAACGCAAAATATATAGGTGTAAGTCCTGGTTTTTAGCTTGGTTAATGGCAGACAGTGTTCGAAGGTACATCTAAGTACTTACTAATAACAAGATTTAAATTCGCTATGCAAGCGTGGTAATAGTTGTCGTATGTGGCTGTTGGAATAGTGAAATTTATTTTTTAATACAATTTTATTGGTGATATTAGTTTTTTGAACTCCTCACGAATAGTAAAATATTATTTGTTGCTTTAAACTTTTTTCATAATATTTTTAAAGTATAAATAAAATCATATTTAGCCAACAAATATGTACCTAAGCCGACTCCACGCTACTCATTTAATTTTTTGTTTTTTTGTTCTATATTAATAACTGCACACATACATACCTTAGTAGATTGTTGCATGGCGACAATATTAACTATATAACTGCATACATTGGCGACATTTATTTTGCATTGACGATATTTCTAACAATAATATTAGTTGATTCCTTACAAATAGTTTGTAATCACTGTATTTATCTTTGTTTTAAAGTAACACTTATGTACAGCTTTAAAGTAGTAATTTTGTGTTAATGGAGTGTCTAGTAAAGCAAATATTTAATTGATTAAGAACTTATCATTATATCTTACAAAGTTTGCAACTTTAGGTGCATAAATCCTTACGTGGTAAATGGTTTGCCAAATCAGAAAGGGTCAAATCTCAGAAAAATATCAAAGTCACTTCTACGAAAATAATGACATTGTCCCAAAAATGAAACAATTTTAAATGCTTGCAGATTAAAGCGTGTTGATAAGAGTATGTTCACCGATAGTAATTGTGAGAACACTAATAGTATGGAAACTGATGAATCTACAAAGTGTAATGATAATGACTCAATTTTAACTGTAGCCCCACTTTCATGGAGTATTAGGAAGGTATCGGAAGAGTTAGACCTATTGACACATGCAGCAAAGAGAGCGAAATATTTATAATTGTCAGGAGAAGTGTTGGCTAATGTCATGGCAAAGGCTGGTAAAAATTTACCAGGAGACATCCAAACGAAATGAGTTAATTTTTATAATGATAAAATAGTAAGCAGACTTATACCAGGGGCTCAGGATGTACCTTTAATAAAAGTGTATGGTACATGATTAAGTGTGCAAAAAAAGCTCTTATTGTTTGATTTGAGTAAATAACATAATATTTTAAAAGAACTACACTGATATTGGTATTGGATTCTGTACTTTCCGAAAACTACGGGCCACAAAATCGTTTATTGGCTGGACCAAGAGAAACATACCCTCAGTTTTTGTGTTGTACTAAACATGAAATCTGTTAAGTAGTACGAGATGATATAAAGATCCGTACAAAAGATGTATTTCATGATTAGCGTGACTGTTTAAAGTTGCATGCCTTCAAAACACTGTTTCTAGATTGTTACCTTAAACAGTGTTCAAAATGTTCTGATACATTGGCTCTTTCAACATTATGAATACAAATTATGGACAGCAAGTCTAGTGATAAAGTACAGTAGAGCATTAAGATTAGAACTCATAGGTCTACGTTACAAACTGTAACAGCTGCAACATCAGACTCTATAAGTCCTTTGGCAGAAAGCTTAAGTTATAAAAATATTTTTTTTTATAGCAAAACAATAATAAGAATTTATATTGACAAAAAAACAGGAACGAAGAAATGGAGAAGTTTTTGTGGAAATAAATTTTTTTGAAAATCTGTCTTACGAAGTTCAAAAGAGAAGTTTTCATCAAAATAAGTTTTTTTGAAAATCTTTCTTACGAAGTTCAAAAGAGAAGCTTTTGTCGAGATAAATTTTTTTGAAAATCTTTCTTACGAAGTTCAAAACGCTTTCCAAGCTTTTTTTCCGGTGAAGAACAGCGTACAGTCTTCTCGGTTATTAACTATTACTAAACCAAGTTAGAACTTATACAAAAAAGCTGTATTTTTTTATCTGATGGTTGAAAGTATGATACGTCTGCAGTGTTTACCATTTATAAACAATTAGTTCCAAAAATCATGAAAAATAAAAAAATTATCAAGAAATTTATAAATGTAACTGATGGAGCTACGCAGAATTACAAAAATAAATATGTATTACCTAACCTTTGCAATTATAAGTAAGATTTTTAAACTGTTGCAAGGAAGCATTTCTTTGCAACATGACATGCCAAAAGTGAATCTGGTGGTTTAGAAGTTATATTTAAGTGAGAGGCTTATCAGGCAAGTCTTCTGGCAAAAGCTTCCAAAGCAACATTGTCAGTACAGTCGCTGTATAGCTGGGCAAAAGACATTTCAGAAATATGAGAATACTGTTTTTCACTAAGTTTAATCACGGTGAATCAACAAGGCACTTAAATAAAAGATTTGAATCACCATTGCCAGTTCCTGAATTCCTGAAAAAGCTTGTATTTATTATAAAACAACAACAAAAATTATAAAACAATACTTATATGTTT